TTGAACGTGTACTAGAACGCTTCAACATGAAGAATGCTAAGCCAGTCAGCACACCTCTTGCTGATCATCTAAAGTTGAGTAAGAAGATGTGTCCTGCAACAGTGGAGGAGAAAGGGAACATGGCTAAAGTTCCTTATTCTTCAGCAGTCGGAAGCTTGATGTATGCAATGGTATGTACTAGACCTGATATTGCTCACGCAGTTGGTGTTGTCAGCAGGTTTCTTGAAAATCCTGGAAAGGAACATTGGGAAGCAGTCAAGTGGATACTCAGGTACCTGAGAGGTACCACGGGAGATTGTTTGTGCTTTGGAGGATCTGATCCAATCTTGAAGGGCTATACAGATGCTGATATGGCAGGTGACATTGACAACAGAAAATCTACTACTGGATATTTATTTACATTTTCAGGGGGAGCTATATCATGGCAGTCTAAGTTGCAGAAGTGCGTTGCACTTTCAACAACTGAAGCAGAGTACATTGCCGCTACAGAAACTGGCAAGGAGATGATATGGCTCAAGCGATTCCTTCAAGAGCTTGGATTGCATCAGAAGGAGTATGTCGTCTATTGTGACAGTCAAAGTGCAATAGACCTTAGCAAGAACTCTATGTACCATGCAAGGACCAAACACATTGATGTGAGATATCATTGGATTCGAGAAATGGTAGATGATGAATCTCTAAAAGTCTTGAAGATTTCTACAAGTGAGAATCCCGCAGATATGCTGACCAAGGTGGTACCAAGGAACAAGTTCGAGCTATGCAAAGAACTTGTCGGCATGCACTCAAACTAGAAGACAGTGCTACCTCCTCTAGATGAATGAGACTGGAGGGGGAGATTGATGATGTCCATCTCATTGAAGAAGTATTAGGCATGTGCCTAATAAGAGTTTTCTTTGGTTTGGTAGCCAACCTTGTTGACTTGGTTTGGTTGGTAGCCAACCTTGTTGAATTACTTTGGTTTGGTAGCCAACTTTGTTGAATTGTGAAAAATGTGTGTAAATTGTCAAATATTGTAGGCTTTAGAGGGTGAAGCTTTGGCTATAAAAGGAGAGCTTCAACTCTCATTTCTTCACACCAACAAAGAGAGAAAGAAAGAGTGAGGTTTCACAGACAAGGTATAAGAAAATAGTCTGTGAGGAAAATAGAGAGTGAGCGATATTGTAGTGAGGTGGGAATATCAAAAGAGGGTTATTTCTTTTGAGTGTTGTAGTGGTCTTTGGAGTATTTACCTCCGACCTACAAAGTTGTAAAATTCCTTACTATAGTGATATCAGTTGCTCCTCTCGGGGTCGTGGTTTTTTCCCTTATTCAGAAGGGTTTTCCACGTAAAAATCTTGGTGTCATTGTTACTCTTTTATTCTTGTTAATTACCGTATCTCGGTGCTATATTATTATTCCGCTTTATTATCGTGAATATTATTTTGGTAAGGGGTTTATTCCCAACACTTTATCCACGACATGCTATTTTTCTTTCTCCTCCATGTTGAAAGTTCTAAAGCAGAAAGTTATTTTTGAATCTGTAGTCATTATGCACCGCTATCCAAGGTACTCCACTGATAAATGAATGTAAATGACTACGCATTTTTGCAGCAGAGTAGGAGATTCCCAAAGCACTGTCCTAAATAAGAACTAACATTGATTTTGGTGAAAACTTCTGCCCTACGATCTGGCTTCTTAACAATAAGTAATCTCAGTTATTATAATGAACCTCAGACCAAAGTCAGAGGTTTTTCTAGGTTGCGTAAGTACAATTATCCAGACTTACATGATCTCTATTTAACAGATCCAAGTCTCCCAAAGTCAGTGGAGTAAACAAAAAATTCAGCATTCCAGTTTAAACAGCAACCTGCAAGAGCAATTGAAATGTAAAAATATTAGAAAAGCTTACTCCAATCCAGACCTTTTGGAGCAATTACTGATTATTTATCCTAATTCAATCCAAAAAAGATGAAGAAAATGTAGAACGGTCTTTCCGAATATATTTGGAAAAGACTAACATTGGATGTATTAAGGGAATATTGAAAAAAAACTTGTCAATGAAGAAATCAAGATGAGAATGCTTTCCGAATGATTTCTCCATAACTACATTGTATGTAGAATGATCATCGGTGTCCTCTGTTGTGGGTGGACATATTAGTAGTTTTACATTCTCTGAACCTTTTGCTCTAGATAAAGCAATGTAAAATTGACCGTGTGAAAAAGCTGGTTCACGTAAATAAATTCCAACAAAAATTTAACGTTCTTATAGCGAAACATAACCTTAATGAAAATTGTATTATCTTAAAAGAAACTGGTAAATTCTCATCTTGTGATGCTACTAATGGTATCTTAGTAGCAATTAAAATTAGGTAAGTTTTGTTCCAGAGAATTGCCAGACCTTTCTAGTCTTCTTTGCTTTCCTTCTGCTCAAGGGTCTCTCTTGAAGAATCTTTACTTCCTCAGCTGTAATTATCACACCCAAGTTTCAGCTCTTGCATTATCAGATGCCTGTTCTTGCTGATGTTTATGGTGGGACACCTTTTCTTGATACAACTACTTGAAGTGGTTTCTGCAAAATAAAAAGAACTTAAACCATTTCGATTATTAGACTTTCTTTCGTAAAAGCTAAAATTTTCTATAACTGCATTGTGCTGCAGAATGTTTATCTTGTTCTTCTTTGCTACTGCTTGTGCACTGGGCACATAATGAGCCAAAGAAAATTCCCGGAAATAATTTTTTTGATAGTTAGAAAGATCCACATAAAATTGTTACAGGAGGGCGTCCATACACAGCTGAAGCAACCACAAAGTTTCAGTCACTTCGAGAACATGCCAATTTCTCCAGCCATATGCTAGAAAAATATAAAACACCAGAAGAATCTCAGCAGTTAGATGGATGATAAAAAAGAGGATATTATTCTGAAAGAGGAAAAACTTCAGGAAAAAGAAGAAGGCACACACGCACTACTTTACACTCACACGATCTTTTTCCTCTTTCTTGAAAATGGGAACTACTTCTAAGATCCAAATATATATTCTTTATTTCTCCTAAGTCACTGAGATTTTATTTTTTCAATTCAGCTCTTTTATCTCGTAGTTGGGACAAAAATAATTATTTTCTCGCAGGCAACATTTGTACATATCTAGCACGACGACGCAAATTTCTATCAACAATTCGATCTTCCTTTGAGGTCGCTGGCGTAAATTCACAGTATCTATGTTTTCAGACATTCGTGCTTAAAATAATGTATACTATTGTTAAATTAATTTTTTAGGTTAGTATAATCTATAACCAAACTTCAAAATTAATTTTTTTGTTAACATAAAGTTAAAAAATAGTAAAATACTCTAACAGAAAGACAAATGAGAACAAATGCATGCATTTGAAACATATTTATTTAACACGATTATAAATGTAGAGATATGTTGTTGGCTCATGATGTCAAGCAGAAGTAAATAGCGTAGTTGTTGGCTGATGGATGAGAATTTTGTGGTAAACCTGTTGAAATCAAGCATATGATCAAACATGTTAGATGTGCACAGCACGGCAGTACTAAAAGACATTATATGAACCTAATGTTGCACAAAAGTACATAAGAAAGAACCAATATCAAAGAAGAAATCTTTGCATATCTGTATGCACTAATACAGTTATAGTTATAACTATGAAAAGTAATCTCAGTCGCCGGATGCTTTGCAGATAATATGATTAGCTTCATTAGATATTCTCTCGGGGTACAGTTGGAGGCAAAGCAAGATAAAAACAGCGGTTTATGGGAACCATGTCAGTTATCAAGGATTCATTAGCCCATCTGATAAACTCTTCATACTAACCTCTTTGGTACTGTGCTGCTCCTCCATATTACACATCTCCAAATCTAAGAACAGGTAGTCTCTATTTTTAATGGCATAAAGGCTTGTGCAAAAATTACTTGTTTGCACTTCATACAGAATATATGTATAATCGCAATGTACCTAGTCAAAATTGTAAAAGGTTTTGGAAGAAATGTAAGTAATCAAATCGAGCGGAGATATTTGAGGTCTCCGGCGTAAATCCATAGTATCTTTATTTTCGCACATTCCTGTTTCAAATAATATATAGTTTGTTAAATTAATTTTATAGAATAGTATAACTTGAAACTCATACTTTAGATCGTATTTTTTAGTTAACACAAAGTTTAAAAAAAGAAGAAGGGTAAAATACTTTAACACGACTATAAATGAAGATATGATGTTGAATGATGATGTCCAGCAGAAGTAAATAACGTACCTTTTGGATTATTGAAATGATGGATCAGAATGTTGTAGTAAACCTGTTGAAAAAAATAATACATCAAAAATTGTTAGGGAGTTGACGCATATGATCAAAACAACTTGGATGTGCATAGTGCGTCAGTAATCAAAATTATTTATGTGAACCTGATGTTGCACAAAAGTACATAAGACTGAATACATAAAAACGTATATAATGAAAACAACCAATATCACGACGAAATTATTATTATATATATCTATGCACTAATAAAGTTAAAGCTATAAGCATATAATTACCAAATTAATTTCAATTCTCAGTCATTTTGGAGATAAAAGATTACAAATTGTAGTGTTGGTAAACATATTTATTATATTTCCGTAGCACTTTTAATTAAAAGGAGAGAGAAGGGGATAAATAATAGAAGTAAAAGAAATTCAGTTGATTTAGGTATATTATCGAATATTCTCGGTGCATCAGTGTGCAAATGTAATATAGTTATAGGCATGCATGTGAAACTCCAACAACAAAATGTCCAAACATACAGAGGAACAAACAGATGCCCACCAAAGTCTCATCAGCCATTGGGTGCATTTAAGAAAAGAAGAAGCTAGAATTATAGAAAAATTCACCACAACTATAGTGCAAATGCCAACGATAACATGAAACTGGAATCAAGAAACTTAGGCATATTAAAAAGAAATAAATCGTCTGACTACAGATCCATAAGTAATTAAAAGCTACAAAAAGATCAAGACCAAATTTGCAGGTTTCAACTATGATAAATTAACTTTCATTAGTCACATCAAGATATAGCAATACATGCAACACAGAATAAAATTCAGTCAAAATCACAGAACACTAAACTCCAAAATTTCACATTGAAAATTGAAACATGGACATGGCTAAAAATACAGAGGAACTCAAAATTTCACCTAGCTATGAAATCCACCAAAAACAAAGGAAAACGAAAGAGGGGGAATAAGAACCCACCGGAGAGCTGAGCAAAGTAACAAAAAAAATTCTCCTCTCAGATTCAGTAGCTTATGATGAAAATAGTGAAGGCTCAATAGTAAGAGAAAGAGCGATTGCATGCAAAATCAGTACAGGCACTGAGAACCGTGTTCTTTATGGAAGAGCTAACGAAGAAGACTCCAAGCAACTTCTGAAAATAGCGAGGGCTCGATATTAACAAAGGAACAAATGCAATTACCATTAAATCCCCAATTTTGCAAAGCTTTTAAGTTAAAGAGGATACAGGCAAAATTGAAAAAAACATAAGTAGAATTTTTTTTGTTAAATCTCAAATTTACCCCTGTTCGTAAATGTTCGTACACCTCAACTCTGGCTTCTAAATAATAGTAATATATATATATATATACTAGTTTCTCGACACGTGCGTTGCACGTGTATATCAAGTCATGTAATGCACAACAACAACAACTCAGTATAATCCCACAAGTGGGGTCTGGGGAGGGTAATATGTACGCAGACCTTAGCCCTACCCCGAGGGGCAGAGAGGCTGTTTTCAGGAGACCCTCGGCTCAACACAGCGACAAGAGACGATATATTAGTACTATCAATAGACTCATAATAAAATAACATAACATAAAAATAACAACAATATAAGAAATATAGGAAGTACGAAAAAGATGGAAGATATAATAATATCCAGCAGATAAAGCCCTGCATCAGTAGTTGACCAGTAGCATCCTAAGACTAACTCCTAACTGGCTAGTCTCACTCTAGTGCGCTGTAGAAATACTCACAACTTCCCCCTAGCCTACAACCTTAATGCTCGACCTCCACAATTCCCTGTCAAGGGACATGTCCTCAGTAATCCTAAGTCGCGCCATGTCATGCCTGATCACATCTCCCCCATACTTCTTAGGTCTCCCTCTACCTCTCCTCGTGCCCACCTCAGACAGTCGTTCACACCTCCTCACCGGTGCCTCAGTGCTCCTCCTCTGAATGTGCCCGAACCATCTGAGTCTTGCTTCCCGCATCTTATCCTCAAGTCATGTAATGCACATTTTTATAAAATAATATTAATACTATTAAAATAAAGCTCTGAGGAAACTATTTCTCAAATTTTTTTTATCAAATTATTCTTTTCCATACGAAACATACCCAATTGAGTAAAGATTGGACACTTCACATTTGAGAACATTCTGATTCTATGAAAAATAAGTCATGAGAATATCTAATAAATCAAACGTACTATGCTGCGTCACATACACATCAAATAGTTAAATTATCAAAGTATTGAAAGAACCTAATGAAAGGTACATAAAGCAGTAGAGTTGGATCATTCCTTCTAAGTTATGGCAAAAATATGAAATTGGCTTCATAGCAAATAGGATAATACTTTTATTTCAATAAAGTTGTCCAGTAATGAACAACTCATTCGCTAGGTGTTCTCTTTTAAAAAAATTGGATGATAATTGACGAAGACTTTGAACAAAGACCAATCTAGACGTATAATTATCATAGGAACTATCCAACGGTAGATTAAAAAAAAGCAAAAAGATAGATACAATATCAAGAGATTCAAATATGTAACATAATCATTAATTGAATAAAAGATATACATAGATTGAAGAATCTTATTGAAACTTCACGTAAGAATGGTTAGCACATATCACTTGTGTGGTTGTACCATATGAATCAACCATTTCGAAGATACTATGTGGTTGTACCATATTAATCTTTCTTTTTCCTTTTCCAAAAGATTTTTCGCAGAATTGTATACATTACGAAAATCTTACCAATTAAATGGAAACATAGATTATTTTTTTTAAAGTAATTTGTTAAAGCTACTTCTATGGTCTTCTCAATTTCTTGGGATAAAAAAAAATTCTCCACATTGCCCAGCTTTGTTGATATTTCTCTTTTTTCTATTCATAGCTCTAAAATTGTCTTCTTTAGATAAAACCACATTTGTTTCGTGAAACATATATCACTGCATATCTATTTTGAATTAGAAAACTTTAGTGTCATCCAGTTGCAAAACAATTAACCTTGCGTGCACTTCTAATTCTTCAAAATAATGGCAGACAGTACACTACGTCTAGTATTAACTTTTGATCATAAGCCAAGTACACCACACTGTTAATATTTCAGGTGTCATTTTCGTGGGTAACATCGATCTATTCTAACATTCGTAGAAAAAAGATCTCAAAAATCACAAAGCATAAATAATTAGATAATGAGTAAAGTAAAGAAAGTAGAACCCGATTTTGCCACTTTCTTCTTCAATCATCACTTTGCAGTTGATATCTTCATGGGAGATCATTTGATGCCAAACATATTACATTGGCCGCTGCAAGGAAAGTTTTATGTTTACCTTACCAAATGGTTCCGTCTTTATTTGCAAAAGACCTGCTGCTCGGTTGGATTTTTTTCGAAAAATGTGTAAGATGAACTGCGAGAGAAGAACATAAATTTTAAGTTATGAACCATTAATTCCAATTTTGGCGTATGAATATTGGTGTCTCTGTTTTATACTTTCATTCATGTATTGCCAAGTGCAAAACTGCCATTGCTTTGCAAATCTTCTCAATATTCTAACTAATTAGTTTGTATCAAAATATAAAAGCCATAGTGGAAGGGAGGATCAGTGTTACTTCATTACTACTGTAGATGCTCTTAATTGAAGCATGGCGCATTAGAAGTGCAAATAATGTGCAGGACTTGAGTTGATTATCAAAAACTATGCAGTACTGGAGTTTGACACAAGCATGAAAACTGAAATAGGAATTCAAGAGGAACCAAATACTGCTACATGAATCCCCTATGTATACAATTTTATAGTAAACAAAAATTTTTCATCCCGAACCTACCTTTTCTTGAAGGTGTTCTAGATATTCAACAAAACGTTGGATCATAATTGAAGTGGAATGTTATTTAACACTTATTTTCTTCACTGCCTTGCCAAGATTTTCAATTAATGCTTGCAAGTATAGATGCATTCTGCAAAACAAGAAGCTGCTACCATTTCGTACTTGTAGTGTCTTTTCATTTGGGGTTGTTGCTAAGAGTTTGGTCCTTTTTTATTTTTTATTTAAATTAGGTTATTTAGGTTTTAGAAGGTTATNACTGTCTACAGACCTCTAATAGAGTGTACAACTATATAAAGGACGGGACTGGGCCCCGTCATACCCATATATATACACAAAAACATCGTATCAAAACCTAATAGCAGCTCCGGATCAAATGGAGCATACAAACTCTCGCTGAGCAAGGATCCTAAGAAGGGGGGCCGTTAGCCTGTCTATCTGCACCCATGGGCATAAAACGTAGGCCCTCAGACAATAGGGGCATCAGTACTGTTTACCGTAAAAATGGTAACAACAATTAAATTTGTAAATGTGATTCTAAAAATACATGATCTATTTTTATGCTAGTTGTTAGAGCAGTTGATGTTAGGAATATGAAATTTAATGAAGAAATACAAGCTAAAACGGGACAGTAATCAAACCCAGGGGCTTGCTGCCCGAGCCTCGGACTGGTCGATGAAGAACCTCGAGGTCAATATCTGGCTCGATCTCGAGCTATCGGGGGTAGTTGGGGATGGGGCAACAGTTAAGATATGAACATTTATAAAGGTTTTTTATGGCTAATACCAAGCAATAAATGAAGAACAAGTATGAAAGCAATAAACGGTAAGAGTGGCCTCGAGCTAGTAGGAACGAGCAAGTTAGAGAGAAGAAAGAGAGAGAGATATTATTGATCTTGTGGAGAATAGTTGGAGCAACATCAGCCCTTTACAAAGTAGTGTGGGCTCCCTTTATATAGGAGGGGAACCCAGATATAGTACAACATGCATTAATTATAAAGTATGGAGATGGGACAGCTAGAGGTGACGCTTCAGCATAGGCCTTGGATAGGTCGGCTCTGTCAGACTTAGTCGTGTGCCTTGGGAACTTCCCCTTCTGCTCTAGCCCCGACTTTCGTCTTCTTTGAGTCGGGCCCTAACGAGCCCCGATGGAGGGGACTCGGTCGCAGCTCCACGTCCTCGGGGTCTCAAGGTATTCTTCTGAAGTGGCTTGATAGCGAGAAATCAAGTCCTTTAATTTTTCCCCATACAGATAGTCTCCGAGTTTCCCAGAATGAAGCGATGGGAAATAATTCTGACACCTAAATTCACAAGCTTCTCACGGTGATGTCATACCAATGATGCAACCTGTGGCGTGAACTTTTGTGGCAATCGGGTGTCCCATGGACTTGTGTATTTGACATTATTCAATGTACTGTCGATTCCCATTCTTCAAGATGAATGCACTACCGTCGATTAGGTTCTTCAAGAACGTAGTAATTGCATCCGCCGGTCAATCTTCCAAAGCCTCGATGATTGTGTTGCTACCCCATATAATTGGGGGCGTTTTGGCGTTGTTTTTCTATCCAAGTGCCTCCATTAGCCCATTTCTTCTTATCATCTTCCTTTATCCTTGAGCATTACGCTTGGGGCTCATGGCCTTAAAGCCGTTCGGCAGGGCTCCCATAGGCTGTATTGCAGCCTCTTGCAGGTGCTTCCTTTTGTCGAGCACAACCATGCCATCCTGTCGCCGTTGTGGTTGTTGTTACGTCTGATGTTGCTGCCCTTGTTTACCCAAGATGATGACATACGGGGGTCAACTTTCCTTGCTTGCTAAAAGCTCTTCGGATTATGTACCGCTGCTCAAAAGGGGGCTCGGATTATACATCGCTGCTCACCTTCATATCCCGGCTCGACGTGGTATTCTGCCTTGAGCTGGTAGCTTGCACGGCTAGATGTTCCAAGAAGTGGACTCTAAGTAGCCGTACAAGCAGGACCGAGGCTCGCCCGGTCCGCTGTCTTTCCGAGGTTCTCTTGGCCAGCGAGGGTCCTCGACCTTCAGAGAGCTATGGCATTTTTTCATCCCTCCCTGCTTCTTACCCTATCCTTTAGAGATATCAGTGTGGAAAGCCGGGATGAGGCTTCTGAGGATGTGTGCCCGGAGGCGCCTATTGCAGGAGGCGGTCCTTCGAAGGTAGACCAGTCTCTAGGCTCTTATCACGCATGTGCAACCTTTTGTTTCTTCCTTTATGCGTAAGAACCCCTTGCGGGCTTTCGTAACTGTATATAAGGACCCTTATAGGGCTGTTGTACACTGGATATTTATGAATATAAAGATACTTCCTTGATTTCTGTTTTCGATTCT